TGAACTAAAAGAATTATGCATACCTCTACCGCAATGTTACTTAAATCATAGTTCCCCGAACCTAAAATGAAATTCCATTCTCATCCATTACCTTTCTTTCAACTTCGGGTCATGAATCTTGGGGCATGGTCCTGATGCAAAGCAACACAACACAACACAAAAGTATTGTCAGGGAAAAAACAATTAAGTTAAATTGAAGGTTTTGCAAATTTCACCAACTGTACTGAGCTAGAACAACTAATGGGCTGCACCAAACCACAATTCTATTTTATCTTAGCTTCTCCTATGCTTCCTCATCAACCAATCAAAGAATCTAAGCAAATTTAATTCGATAAAAGAAATGCACCTAGGTCACTCGGGTGTTCACGAAGAGATCATGCGGACAAAATCAAACCATATAGAATCCACAAACCTCCTTATCATCCCATTTGACTTCCGTGTACCCTTTTTTCTCTTCTTCAGTTAGATTTCAGGCTATACATAAACAAACGAATGAAGCACAAAAAATAAGCTACAAAACAATTAAATCAGATCAAATTCAAACAACCAAGTCAGATACAAATGGGATTTTCAAGCCACAAAATCAAAGAGTATTCCAAGAAAACAGTCAAAATCCCAAAAATAAAGGATGAAATAGAACAAATATTTTAGAAAAAAAAAAAAAAAACATCACGTCTGATTAATACAGAGATTTTCTTAAAATCCAAAAAAAAAAAATGATTTGATATGCTTTAAAAAAAGCCCTAATCAATATAGATTCCTAATCAGTAAAACCAAAACCGAAAAAAAAATCCTTTTTTTTTCTAAAACAAAGCCTTAATCAGTATAAAATTTTCGAAAAAATCGAAACCTCTTCACTCCAGATTTTTTTTTGTTTGAGTGAACACTACAGATTTCTCAAAAACCCATTTGTATTCTAAAACCATTTGCATTGTGGGCCATAACCATTCGTATTCTACTTATGGAGTGTACAGCAGTAAAACAAAAAAGGAAAAAAAAATCTTATTTGTTTGAAGAAACCCTAGTTTTTCCTAAGAAAATCCTAATCAAAATGTGTACCTTTCACACCTGGAGGAGAACAAACTCTATAGGAGCCGGAGTTGATCTTCAGATGGCCCAAAGCTTTCTTCATATGGAAGAGAGCGAACGATGTAATGTGAACTTACTCTCAAGGTGCTATAGACACTAGGAAACGACAAAAAGGCGGGAATGATTATATACTCAGCCTTAGGGGCATTTAGGTCTTTTGATTAGTTCCGTTGCATCCGTCAGTTAGTCGTCAACCTTAGGGGTCTAGTTGTAATATGTTAAACCTCGGGGGGTCTAGATGATTAAGTGACAAACCTCAAGGGATCTCAATGTAATTTACCCTAGAATAAAAGATTTACAAGTACGTTTTGGAAAATTTTTACGGTTTGAAAAGCATGAAAGTTGCAATAATTTATTTAGTTGTCTAAATTACCCTTATCCATAGTAATCACCTGGCTTATTCATGCACTTGAGACTGGCCTAGTCAATCGCCTTGGTTTACAAATCTGCCCATACCAGTTACTCACATCCATGGCTTGCTTGTCATACCAACGCCAAAGTAGCATAACATAAAAGTCTTTTGATAAAACTCATGGATAAGTAATAAAATCAAATAAAGAGCCAACAATAACCAAATAAAGAGGAGTTTGGAGAAAGAAAACTATGGGCAAAATAGGAACTAAAATTATTGGTGCCACTTTCATGGGTAGGGGCTGAGCTACACCACCCTCTAATTTATTTTGGTAATTTTTTTTTAAACAATAAGTTTTCATATATTCTAAATTTGCCAACATAAAAACCTCTCATGCACTTTAATTTGATTAATCATCTCTTATATTTGTGGTAAAATTTTTAACTCTCAATTATGTGAACTTAAATAATATTTGGTTAGTTGAATCTCTTATCATGTATTCAAGAAATCATTTTGAATCTCTTTCTTTTTTCTACCTCTGCGTCGAGGATTCAAGTCACCAAAACATCCTTTCACATGTGGGATAATAATGGTAGTCATCTCTTTATATTTATTATTAGTTCAATTTTTTTAATCTTGCTATTGTTAAAAAAACAACGCTATTAGGACCTAATTTGATGGTCTAATGTTTCGTTATTAAATTACAAGTGGGTTTTAGTATTGAATGCAATCTATTTGCTAATTCGACAGTGGCAATGTATTAGGTCTATAAATTAGATCCTTAAATTACACACATGTAGTATTATTGTTGTTAGAATCTACCACCACTACATTAAATTTCTGGCTCCGCCCTATTCAATGGAAAAGAAACTTTTCCCTATACTGTTTGCAAGGAGTTCGAAGTAAAATGTACATGCATTACATGTTGTCCATGAAACTTGCTTTCTTGTATTTTACACTGCTTTCTTGTTGAATAAATACATAGAAAAGTTGATTTTTTTTCCCTCTTTCATTCACTTCCCACCACTTCCCTATAAATTCACTTACCAGAATTTATAGGGAAGGGATACATATCAAAAGAGGAGTTTTTAGTCTAGCATGAATCAAGTAGATATTATGGATCATTCCCAAGTTATCTTCACAACATTCGATCATTTAAAACTTATTCTCTTGTTGGTTGACCTCTTCAGGTAGGTTTCTCTTTCTAGATAAGCTTTTGTTTATCCTTTCCTATGGACGACCTTTCCAGCCTTAAGAAATTATCTTTTTAGGAGTTGAAATCTGATACAACTGCATATAATGTTAGTCGGATTATCTTAAGATTCTAGTTATCCTTATCTTTTCAAATAACGGGTCTACTATTGAGCCACATCTATGATTGCTTTGTACGTAGTTCTGTATGGCAAGTCACAAGTTAAGTTGGTCGAGCATCAATTTAAGATCCTCGGCTCATGCCATGGCAGTATAATCATTGGTTGTGTAACAACAATCTGCTCAGGATTATGAATTTGTTGGATCCCTTGCTTGGGTGCTCAGGATTTACCTTACCAAGTCCAAACTCCAAAGCCGTCATTCACGCCTATCATTTCTTTCTAGTTAGATTAGTACACATGGTCCAAGATAGATGTCATGCAAATATGGGACCCTGTTCATTCACATACATAGGATCATGTAATATTACTTAACTAGCAATGGACCTGTGCTTAAATACATTCTGTATCAAAACCAAAAGAGTAAATTGATCCCTAAATTTTGTGCTCGCCTATGAAGTAATTTAAATAAAATATCTTATGTAATTATCATTTACCCTATTTTCAAACATACAAACTTTAAGCGAAGAATTGAAGTTTGGCACCAAACTGGTAATTACCAACTGCCCAAGTGCCCATTTTCTGTCTCATGTTATACACATCGGGAAAAAAATAAACAACACGAAAAGGAATTTATACAATAAAGAAACTGTGAAAGGTAGGTCTACACATACAGTGAGAGAGAGAGAGTAATAGGAGATATGAAATATCCGAAATTGTGTGATTTAAGGGGTCAAAACTATTTGGATGGGAAATTATACTTTTCAAAATTAATTTTATCCGTTGGATTAACTTCTAATATTTACCAATTAATTTGGAATGTTCGAACAAATTATAAGTTGGGGGATTCAAAATCTCTTGTACTTTATTATATTGATGTTTTAGTTTTTCTTTGTCTTGAATGTAAATCTTCTTATGTATTCATATTGCTCTTGCACTTGGTTTTTTGTATCTGCTAAGAATTCTCTTACATATCTTGACAAATTTCAGCTTCTTTGATCCAAAAAAAAAAGATCAAATGTATCATATTTCACTTAGTTATGACGATTTCTTGTCTATCTTAGTTTTTCCATTGGTGCAATCGTGCCTCTTGACTAGAATAGAAATGGTAAGCAATCTATCTGTAGATTATATAGAGTTTTTGAAGCTTACCATGTTTTGTGGCTATGTTTGGATGCAGATTTTGATAACAGTGTTGTCTTCTCTTGTACACAAGAATTTTTGTCTGCACAATCAGGTTATTGATCTACAGGTAATACATTATGAATTATGAATTTTCTTTGCAATTATTATAGAAATAATTTTGTTTCTCCAAACTTTCTTATTTTAATGTTTGACTCTAGAAAATAACTACTTTTTGGCTTCTATAAGGCCCAAATTTTTCTTTGACTTTTAGGCATATTAGCAAAATTTCTAAACATAATATCCTTTTTGTTTCATTTCCTAAATAAAAATCAAACAGCCGACTTTTGCTGAATTTAAAGTCATTTTTGACTAAATTTGACTTCGTCACATTGTGATACTAAGTTTTACTGTTTCTACCACTTTGCCTTTGGCAGATTAAAGACTAAACTCATTTTGTTCATCTTTGTAACCTTTTTTTATGCTGTTATATTACTAGAGAGACTACTGGGAAGCATGGAAATTATACCTAAAATATGGAATTGCAGGAAATCTTTATTGAAATAAACATACTTATGTAGTTTTTAATTAAGATTCCATTCATAAATTCCATTCTAACAGGGGAAGTACTGATGGAAACAGTATTTTTCTATATTTTCGGCTGTTTAATGTGGTTAGATTCTAACTTCTCGGACAGAAAAGGTGAAGTTCATATCCCATCAGTTTTTTTTCACTGAGAAGAATGGCCTGTTGCATGTTTTTTGAACAATCCAATTTGACCACAGTCCAGTTTGAAATGCCTTAGTGTCAGTTCTTGTAAAGTAGTTTTAGGCATGCACTGTGCCGTCCTTTTTTATGCACTTCAATTAGTTGACTCAGACCTCATAAAATTCCAAGTTTGACCATGAGAATAGTTTGGTTTAATAATCAGGAAAAAGAAATGGTTGACTAATCAGGTGGTTGAATCATATGTTCATTACATTTCTCCATTACTATGTATAATGTCCATGATGATTGATGACAATGCTTTGGTTGCCACCTGTTTTGTGTATGGCTCTTTTAATTTTCCATAGGAAGTGTTGATTTGGATCATTACCATGTTAGACTTAATATAACAGGTGTTTTCCATGCAGGATCAGATTTCTAAGCTGCATTTGAAATTACGAGCTTGCAATTTGTTGAATTCCGTGGATGATGTTGATTCAATACAGCAGGATAGCGACAATCTTCTGAACAAAAACTTAAAAAATACGGCTTTAATTGTTTCACTGATGCTTCTGTCCATTCCTTTTCTTTTTTTCAAGTATGTTGACTTTGTCTCAAAATCAAGAAGATCACCAGAAAATATCACAGAAGAAGTATCTTTAAACAAACAGATAGCATATCGGGTGGACGTGTTTTTATCTGTCCACCCATATTCTAAGCCATTGACATTGTTGGTGGCAACACTATTGCTTATTTGTATTGGCGGGCTGGCACTTTTTGGTGTGACCGATGATAGCTTAGCAGATTGCCTATGGTTATCCTGGACATACGTTGCTGACTCGGGCAATCATGCCAATTCTGAAGGCATGGGTCCAAGACTAGTTTCAGTATCCATCAGTTTTGGTGGGATGCTTATATTTGCAATGATGCTTGGACTTGTTTCTGATGCAATTTCCGAGAAATTTGACTCCCTAAGGAAAGGAAGAAGTGAGGTGGTTGAGCAAAACCACACTCTAATTCTTGGATGGAGTGACAAATTGGTAAGGTCTATGCATCTTATTTTATAAGAAACTGTCTTCATGTTGTTGCTTCTCTTGAGGTTCAGAGAATTTTACGTCTAATGTCTCAATTATGTTTATCATTTAATCATTTCATTGTCTATCCACATGAAACTTTTCCCAGGTTGCTTTTCTTCGGTCCTAGGTTGAAGTTAGGATCTAAAATTTCATTCTGTCTTGTGTCACATCCCATTGATGATTTCGTTAAGAAGTGTACAGTCTTATCTTCACTATTTAGCATCTATGCATGGCCAAAAACTTTTCCTAGTTATGGTGATTATCCATTTTGATAATGTACATTCTACATATTTGATTACATCAATTTCAACTTTCTTGAGAATATGAGAAAAATTAACGGCTAATTTAGGTGGAGGAACTGAAAATAAGAAAAAAATAGATTCATTTGTGAGCAGAATGGTATAATAGGGAAAATAGAATGTAAAGGGAACAAATAGCTTATACCAACCTAGATATTTTTTAAAAAACTTGGAGTGTATATTCATCTTGATGGTATTTCTTTCCATTCGAGATGTGAGATTGCCTGCAAAACTTTTGTAAATATTGCCAAAAAGTGGGTGCATAATATAGGTTTTGTGGAAAAAGTTGATATGCCCTTAACTTGTACTTTCATTATCAACTCAGGGATCACTATTGAATCAACTTGCCATAGCCAATGAGAGTTTGGGTGGAGGTATGGTTGTATTGATGGCTGAGCGAGACAAAGAGGAGATGGAACTTGACATTGCTAAAATGGAGTTTGATTTTAGAGGAACATCTGTTATATGTAGAAGTGGAAGCCCTCTGATTTTAGCTGACTTGAAAACGGTATGCATACTTGTCTATTAGATTCTTCATTCTCAAATCTTTTAATTTTCATAGCTGTAAGTGAATATGCTTTATTCTAGTCAATAAATTAAACCACCTCAATGAGCCGCACCTTTGATGAGTGGGAATTTTGGTGGCCGAGATCCATTTGGTCAAATGGACTTATTTCTTGATCAAATTCAGAGCTCGGCTTATTCAGTTCCTTTTGTTTACTTTTATTTTTCTCAATTCTTCCGTTCGTTCTTTTAGTTGTCCACTTTATAGGATTCAAAAATCAGATGAATTAATACCTCCAAGAGCAGATGAAGTTTTTCCTCAAATTGAAAACTAGACCCTGTGGGAACTACCACTTTCCCAACATGTCTCATTTTACTGGTCATTTTTCCATTTGTTTCTGGGCCATTTTTCCCATATTATTTGGAGAGGTTTGATTATAGTTCCCTGCGAGGATTTGGTTATGGTTCACTCATTATTTGCGACAACTTCTCAAAAGCAAAGTGAATGGGCACAAATATCAACTTTGCTGTTGAATTTTGTTTCAAGGTGAATGATGGTCACTAGAATTTCGACTTATTCACACTTTTTATTTTGCTCTATATGGTTTGTTAATTATGTGTAGTTTCATAGGTATCTGTTTCCAAGGCTCGTGCAATAATTGTCCTTGCTGAAGATGGGAATGCTGACCAGGTTACCTTAATGAAGAAATTGATGCATCTGATGTTTGGTATCGCATTGCAGTTTTAACTTAAAGGCCTTATAATTGGTGCAGAGTGATGCCCGTGCACTTAGGACAGTCTTAAGTTTAACAGGAGTAAAAGAAGGACTGCGGGGACACATAGTGGTGGAATTAAGTGATCTTGATAACGAGGTCCTTGTTAAACTTGTGGGTGGAGATCTTGTTGAAACTGTTGTGGCACATGATGTAATTGGTCGCCTAATGATTCAATGTGCTCGACAGCCAGGCCTTGCACAGGTTTATTATTAGTTACTCTATATCCTACAATTCTTTTTTGAATTTTCCAGAAAATCTTGTTTCAGTGTTTACCATTGTTTTCTCCAGTTGTTTTCGAGGTCAAACTATCTTTATTGGATGCAAATAAGTCTTAGTCTGAGATCTTTCTTGAATGTTTGTGTGACATGTTTGTTTTTCTTCCTCATGAACTGGACCATTACAGATCTGGGAAGATATCCTTGGGTTTGAGAATTGTGAGTTCTACATTAAAAGGTGGCCACAGTTGGATGGTATGCAATTCGAAGATGTACTGATCAGCTTCCCTGATGCAGTTCCTTGCGGAGTCAAGGCCACATCCTGTGGTGGAAAAATTATTTTGAATCCCGATGACTCTTATGTTTTACAAGAAGGTGATGAGGTTCTTGTCATAGCGGAGGATGATGATACTTATTCTCCCGCAACACTGCCTACGGTGCTTCCCTTTTCTTAGAACATAGTATTTTCAAATGAATTGCTTGTCATTTTATATTATTGCTCATGAACTCCATTGTGCAAGTGAGGTAATTCCTTTGAGATTTCAGCTATGCAAAGCCAGTCTCTATTTGACTTTTAGTAGTTGTGAGACTGAGGGTGTAGAAGCATGTATAGCAGAAGAAATGAATGAATGATTGAATAAATGAGAGGATGAATGGCTGAACTTGATTTAGTCTTTAGCGTTGGTATGGATCTCGGGAATACTTTGCATCTGCTTCAATTAAAGACATTTTTATGAATTGAGCTTTTAACCCTGTGGTACTTGATTCGCCTTCTAGTCACAATCTTTATATTGTGTCCAAAGATGATCATCTCAATATGTCAATTAGCATTTATATGCAAAATAGAAATACTAGATGCCATTATTTGTAAGATATGATGTTATTGTGCCAGGTTCTATTTGTATTTTGTGTTTGCTTCCTAAACTGTTCAAGGAGTCAAGTGACATCAATTTACTTGCATTAGCTTGGGTGAATTTGTATATATATATATATATTTTTTTTGTGGTGGAGAGGGGTGGCGGTGGCTTGGTTTCTATGAGGACTCTTGAATACCATCACGCTGAGTTTTTGCACAGTAATTGTCATGTTGATTCCTGAGCTTTCTTGTTTATGCTATGGTTTGTTTGTGGTTTTTTAGTCTAGAGATTTTTCTTTATATAATGGTTTATCCAGACTATATGCTCTAGGGGGTAGTTGTGTGAGATATTTCGATTTGCATTGAGGGGTTAGATAGGGTTAAAGGAGGAATTGAGAGAGAAAATGAGTGATCTAAGAAACAAATTTAAGAAAGTGGTGTTTAAGGAACAAATTTCATGGAAACAAATGGTCAAAGATCTAGGCAATAATTTGAAACTGTTTTCATAGAGTGAAAAATGAGGAGAGGAAGAAAAATCTTTTGGATAAATTGGTGGGCGGAGATGGGATCATTTTTGAGGAGGAAGAGAGGATTGAAAGAGAGATAATTAGCTTCTTTGAGAAATTCTATTCAGATGAAGATATTAAGAAGCCAATGAGCGAGAGGAGTGCTTGTTGGCTGGAGAGACCTTTCTAAGAAAGTGAGGTGAAAGTAGCCGTATTTGAATGCATAAGGATAAGGTACCGGGCCAGAGGGATTTTCAATGGCAGTGTTGTAAGATTCTTGAGATATCGTCAATGATGGTTTGATGAATGCGTTTAGGGAGTTTTTCAAAAAATGGGGTGGTGAATGTTAACACTAATTGGACCTTTATTTGTTTGATTTCAAAAAAGCAAAACTCTTTGATGATAAATGATTTTAGGCCTATCAGTTTGATGACTAGTCTTTATAAGATCTTGACAAAGGTTTTGTTGGAAAGATTGAGAGAGATCTTGGGGGAAATTTTTTTTAAGTGTCAAACAATCATATGCTCCAAAAGTTTAAACTATTGGAGAGAGTGTAACTTAAATATTTATACTTCAACATGCTCCCGCAAGCTAGATTTTAGGCCTAGCACATAGAAATATTTTTGATATTTAGGGTGGAAGTAAGATTTGAATATATGATCTCCTGTTCTGATGCCATATTAAACATTTATCTACTCAAAAAATTGAAGTTGTTGGAGAGTGTGTAATTTATGTATTTATACTTCAACATTAAACATCAAGAGGCATTTGTCAAAAGAAGCTAAATATTAGATATTGTTTTGATTGAAAATGAAATAGTAGAGAATTACATAGCTAATGAAAATGATGTGATTTTTAAGATTGATTTTTGAGAAAAAGTATGGTAATGTGGATTGGGATTGTTTGGATTATGTATTAGACGTTAAAAGGATTTTAGAAGTAGATAAGGGAAATTGGATTATGAGGTACTTGAGATCAATGAATTTTTCGGTGGTGATTAATGGAAAATCAAGAGGAAGATTTAATGCTAGTAGGAGCTTTAGGCTGGGTGATCCTTTTTTACTTTTTTTCTTCACTTTGGTAATGGATGAGTTTAGCAGTTTAGTGGGAAGAGCGAGGAAGTATTATTCAATTTTTAGGGTTTTAGGGTGGAAAGCGATCTAGTGGACATTTCACATTGATAGTTTGCAAATGATACTATTTTTTTTTTATGTCAAGGGATAAGGATAGGTTTTAGAATTTAGTGAATGTCATTTGAGATTTTTAGTTTTGATGTTGGGTTTGAAGGTGAATATGTCTAAGAGACTAGTAGTAGGAATCAACACATATTTGAGGTTAGATAGAATTGTTGGCAGAATAGATTGTGAGGTAGGTGAATGGCTTTTCAAATATCTAAAACTACCTTTGGGGGGAAATCTTTTAGCAGTGTGTTTTTGTAATCCCGTTGTTGCAACGGTTCAAAAAATGTTGAAGGGGTTGAAGAGGGCTTGTTTATCAACGGAAGGGAAACATACCATAGTTCAATTAGTATAGGGTAGTATCCCCCATTTATTTTGTCTTTTTTAAGATTCCTAAGAAGGTAGCTTTTGTATTAGAAGAAATGATGGGAGACTATTTGTGGGAGGGAAGTTGGGTAGGAAACAAGGATCATCTTGTTATGTGGGAGATGGTGTCTAGCTCAAAAAATAAATGGGGACTGGGTGTGGAAAATTTAGTAAAGGAAAATGGTTGTGGAGGTATCTGCTAAAATAGGATTCTTTATGACGTGATGTTATCAAGAGCAAATATGGACTCCATCCCAAGTGGAACTCAAATGTAATGGTTTGAATTTTTTCTCATTGTCCTTGGAAGTTTATTTCACAATGTATAAATAATTTCTTGAAAAATGTGCGATTGAGGATAGGAAATGGTGAGACAATTCACTTTTGGAAAGATAAATGGTGGAGGATTCTACTTTTAATTCATTATATCCTTGTCTTGTTAGATTATCCTGAAACCAAGAGGCTTCCATTGCAAGCATGTATAATGTGCCTCCTTTTCAAGCAGGGTGAGATTTCAATTTATTTAGAGCTTTGAATGATAGGGAAGTGGGGAAACTTTCCTCTTTGTTGTCCTTTATTTAACTAGTCTCAATTGAGTCTGAATTGGATAACAAAGGATTGTGGTGCATTTATCATTCTAGTATTTTTTCATGCAAATCTTATTTCTCTATGCTAATTGATGATCCATCTTCTTCAATTTCGGAACCCCATTGGATGATTTACAAGGCCAAGGCGCCTGTTAAAGTATAGGTGTTTGCTTGGACTATGGCTCACAGTAAGACCAATACCTTTGACTTATTGCAAAAAAGAAGACCTAATTCTTGTTTTTCTTCTCAATGGTGCGTTATGTGTAGAAGGAGTTGTGAAAGTTTGGATAACCTTTTTATCCATTGTCATGTGGCCTTCAAATTGTGGCATAAAGCCATTGAGAGTTCAACTTGAGTTAGAGCTCCAAGATATTGTGTTTCTTTATTTGAGATCAATCATGATATTTTTGGAAAGGGATGTAGATCGTCCGTGTTGTGGGAATGTGTGGTCGTGACAATTATTAGGGTGGTATAGATGTAAATGAATAGATGAATTTTTGAGAGCTAGGCATTCCTGATAATGGACGAATTTATTGGAGGACAACAATGCTTCTTTTAATACTGCTCGCACAAAGGAGAGCTTGTATCTTATATTGAATGATTACGATCACCCAATGTTAGTTCAAATGCTTGAGGGGCTACTACATTGCCAATTAATTTTGGGTTGAATACTCTATCATGGTATCACAGTTGGCCTTAGGTGGTCAGTGGGCTGGGTCTCTTACTCATTTGAATTTTTTGGTATGTATGTTTGTCAGTTTGTTTGTTGGTCCCACATGCTAACGTGTGTCCCACATGAGAGAGGGTGTAAAGAGTTTTTATCCCATGTCGAATGATTAGGATCACCTAAGGCTAGTTTATGTGCGTGAAGGGCCTCTCACATGTATAGCCAATTGGCTTAGGGTTGAATGCTTAACATGATACAGTTTAACATAATAGAAACCAGCACATTGAGCAACATTTCAGCAAATAAAAGCTGATCAAGGGTTCGTTTTGTATTGCCCTTCGTGAGATGAAAAGATTAGTTGGATGATGTTTTCACTAGGGGCTCAATAAGTTTTTTAACTCCATTGTTTGCAAGTTGGACATGTGGGATATGTATGCACTAACTTGAGCTGGTCTTCTGACGTGTTATTGGTGGTATTCTAGCTGGGGGATATTTACATACACCATATAACCCCTTGTGCATATTATATGCTCTAGGGTGTAATTATGTGAGATATACACTGGTCTTTGTTTCTCTCTTGCTTTCTGTTCCCTGTTTTTTTCCAAAATTGCTTCTTCTCCATACCCTAAAATCTTATAATCTAACTTATCTCTTAGGCGTTGGACAAAGAATCATGTTTATTCAGACTGTGTCCTGTACTTTAGAGAACTTAATACTGGTAGTTCTAATCAGTACGGGGTTCATACAAATTGTATTTTTCTTTCCCCTTTTGTCTTCCTTAATTCTTGTTTTTGCTTTTCATTTTTGGTGAAAGAAACATGGTTATGAAATGGCATAAGGACTGCCTTTTATGTGTGCATTCTCTGTGGTTGAAATAAACTTGCTAAAGGATGGGGAAAATGGAAACAATAAGTCACGATAGGCTGGCCACTATTGAAGAAATGCTCAATGGAATTTAAATGGGTGTGGCCATAAAATAAAACTTACAGAAGTAGAATCAATTTGGTCATTCAGGTCAATGAAGCACCATTCATACACATAGCCCGACCAGCAAGAAAGCCACAGAAGATTCTACTTTGTGGATGGAGGCGGGACATTGATGATATGGTTGTGGTAAGTTCAGTCTGTCAAAGCCCCTAATCCTTCTTTTCTTCACCTGAATGCTGCAGGCCTGGAGAGGAAATCTACCCAAAGACTTCATTATTCCAAAGTCTGCTGAAAAAATACTTTTTTGTGGTTGGCGTCGAGATATGGAAGATATGGTTATGGTAATGTTCCAGGAATCTGCTGTATGCTTCTATTACTTCAGCAGGGACTGTTCTGCATGTGCCCAATGTTGTGGTGGACATGTTGGAAATATTTCTGAATTTCCTCAATGTCAATGTTACTTGACTTGCAGTCTTGCCATGCCATTTTGGCATTTTCGAAAATCTTCACTTCCTACATCTTTCTTGATGCCACAGAAAAATTTATACTTCTGTAACTTCAACATCATCTACCCTCTGCTGTATTTTTTAGGTGTTGGATGCCTTTTTAGCTCCTGGTTCAGAGTTGTGGATGTTCAACGACGTTCCTGAAAAGGAGAGGGAAAAGAAGCTTATTGATGGTGGTCTTGACATCCACCGGCTGATGAATATATCACTTGTTAATCGTGAAGGAAATGCTGTTATACGGCGTCATCTGGAAAGCCTTCCTTTAGAATCTTTCAATTCAGTAAGTTTTTTGAAATTTAAATCATCGTGAGCAGCATCTTGTATAGGCTACTATCAAGCAGTAGCTACCTCCTGTTTCTAGGGCTCGGGAAAAGTGTTTATCATCCTTTCTTAGTTTAGGCATATATTGACTTGATTCCTGGTTTGCACAAATCTTAATTTTGGACGACGAAAAAGTTCAAATTTCAGCCATTTGGCTGATTTCTGATCTTTTTCCACATTGCCAGTGATTTTTCGACCCTTTCTTAGTGTAGGCATACACTTATGTGTTTTCTTTTGTACAGATCTTAATTTTGGCTGATGAATCAGTAGAAGATTCTGCTATTCAGGCTGATTCCAGATCTCTTGCCACATTGCTGCTGATTCGTGATATTCAGGTACTCCATTTGAAGCATAATCTTTTGCCCAGCTTTTTTGGTACTTATACTGTCTTCCATTCGTCTTCTCTTTTGGATGTTACTCCTTCTAACCTATCCTAGTAAGAGCACACTTTTGTATGTGGTCGATCAAAGACTGCGGATGCATCGGTCTCCTATCTGCTTCTCCTTCTTCATACATGTAGTTTGTCCTTGTTTCCCTACAAGCATGCATTACTTGTGAGGATCCAGTAGTCAGTTGGCAATCATGATATAATTTTTGACTTGGTAATTCACCACTTACATATCAAACTAGTGTTTCTCACTTGTAATTAGATTACTGATCAATCTTTCCAATGCATGTGCCATCCCCATATTTGGTGACATAATCTTCTCGTTGTGGGGTAATCTACCTTAGGCATGCTGTCTGTCTCTCTTATTGTTTTTAATCTAAGTTATAAACCATGCATACCTCGTTGCAGCTTTCTGTGCTTCTAACATCTTCATATAATCTCTTCCCTTTGCTTTTCTCTCTCATTAATAACACCTACCTTGAAGATAAGATGATTTTAAGTAGTTTATCTGTGCAATTGTGGGGCTCTAATTAAATAGTTTTACTATTTTCTCATTTTAGTCTTTGGAATATGCCGTCGGTGAACATCTGTTAGAATTTTTGTTGTTCCATCATTATTAATGAATGCAATCTAAAAAAAAACTTATTTTCATCTCTTTTAACAGCACTGCCATTTTATTTTATAAAATTTCATGGGAAGCTTGAATAGAGTTGCTGCATGCATAACTTAAATATGCGCTTGTCTATTGTATGTATCATATATGATTTGTCAATTTTCTCTCTCCTCGTTCACCTGGCATTTGCCCTTTAAATTATGTATTTACCTTTCTGGTTAAATACTAATAACTTCATATATAGACAACCATTTCCTTTCTGGTGTTTTTGGATAAGTTGGATGGTTTTGAAGAGATTTGGGTACAAAAAAACCCTGTCTTTGCTTGGTTGATGGATACTGAAGGTGTTAGGGGTCTGAAAATGATAATGGAAATTGGAGTGGAGGAATACACTGACCAAATATCTTACTCCAGATACATCTTTAGGTTTAGTTTCTATTTCTTTTAGTATCATTCTCACTATGGCAAGGAATTAGTGACCTAGCAACCCATCCTTTTGCCGCTGCTTCCATCACCACAGCCACCACCAGTGCCACTTCACAACACAAGAATGACTCCAACACAATTTCCACTTTTGGCTCCATCATCTCCACTTTGAAAGAGATAGAGAATGTATACTGTTTTTACTCCTTCAGAAGTGTTATTTCTCTGACTAACATGTATTTCTGGATCAAATCCTCATATTTTTATATCATCTAATGGCATCAAGACCCACCCAACCACTTCTCTTTGGCTTTCCGGGAGTTTTGACAAGTCACCATTTTGACAGGTTGATATTTTATGAATTTTCTAAGTGGCGTCCAAGGCCTAATCCTCAACTAACTCAAGCCACTTGATCTCACCTTTTGCGGTTTTAAGCTCTAAAGTTAGAATTATCCTCATGTAATCTTTCTTTGTGCTTTGCAGGCCAAGCGTCTCCCATACCGAGAGTCCTTGGTTTCCCAAATTCATAGAGGTAGCTTCTCACAAGGCTCTTGGATTGGGGAAATGCAGCAGGCTTCAGATAAATCGGTGATAATTAGTGAAATTCTCGACCCAAGGACTAAAAATCTATTGTCCATGTCAAAGATCAGTGATTATGTTCTATCTAATGAACTTGTCAGTATGGCATTGGCCATGGTTGCAGAGGATCGCCAAATCAATGATGTATTGGAAGAGCTTTTTGCAGAAGAGGTAATGTTTTCTGTTCCTTGATAGATATGACTACACCATATCATTTTTTTTTTAATCAAAAGCTCTATGATGGATGGGAGGAGTCAAACAGATGATCTAACTTTAATCTATGTACTCCTTTGTAATAACTGTTTTAAAACCCCTTATATAAATGGAAACAATTTTATTGTTCAAAAAAAAAAAAAAAAATGGAAACAATTTGAGAAAATCTAATCTCCATTGTGCTTGATGGTTGAAGCATTAATATTATCGCAGTAGGGAAAGGCCAGGATGATATGACTCTTAAAGAGGAATATTTTTTACCAAAAGGAAAAGAAAGTCTCAATTTAATATTTCCTAGTTAATTCAACATAATTTAAAGGAGCAGACACTAAAATTTGAACATTTGCTCATATAATATAAGTATCAGGAAAGACCTTTGCAATAATGAAAATGGTCAAGTTCTTTACCTCACACATCTGTGAGGTGAATAAATCTACATAAGGAACAGATTCAGGGTGATCATATGAACAGGCCAATAAGAAACGAAAACAAATGATTGAAACATTAAGTAAAATAATAAATTCTGTTCAATAATTAGAAAGCATATAAATTGGCTAAAAACACAAGGTCAACAAAGAGTTCCAACTTCTTGTTAATGGGTTCATTACGCAGTTTAAAACCTAAATTTCAACTTATCAGTACTTCATTCAATGCCTATAAATGTTAATTTGTCAAATAATCGTCCTACTGGTGGTTCTTGATTTTCCAATTCAGAATGATTTTTTTTCCCATGTATTCTCTGGTAAGACCTCAGTGGACCTTTTGATTTACCAGGGAAATGAGATGCATATAAGGCAAGCAGATCTCTACCTTCATGAAACTGAGGAACTGAGTTTCTTTGAAGTACTCTTGCGTGCCCGACAAAGGAGAGAGGTTGTGATTGGTTACCGTTTGGCTAATGCAGAGAAAGCTGTCATCAATCCCCCGGCCAAAAGTGAGAAAAGGAGGTGGTCATTGGAGGATGTTTTTTTGGTAATAGCTGAGAAAGAATGAGAACTTCTTATTCTGCATCTCATTAAGCACCCAGTTACTGGAACGATGATTGCAATATTGACAATCAGATTTAGAGAATCAGAGTTCTTCCAATTTCCAAGCAAGACTGTTTCTGCGTCAACATGCTCAAGAAACAAAGTCCCAAGCAGACCTTCCATGTCAAAATTTACTTTAAAGTTATGGCATGTTGTTCAGATATTTTGGATAACAACATGGCTACAATTGGGGATCAAGATAATTTTGGGCTTCATGTGCTGCTTCATAGATCATACCTGACGCCCTACACCATCACGTGGAATCGTTCCTCTTGATACTATTAATGCAGATAGAATTCAACAGGAGGATAACCTTCTGCCAAAAATTTGATGCGCCAATGAGCTAAGGCAAGTTATGTATCATTTAAATGACAGCTTTTCTTTTATGGATGTAAATAGATCATGGTTTTGTTGGTCAATAAAATGAGTAATAGTGAATTGTACTGTTGTTTTTTGTGTGTGATGTTTTATATGAATAATTTGTTGAATCTACATTGTTTTAGTGGTTTATCCAGCCGTACTTTGGAAAGAACCAAGACCCAAAATTACACAGCAGAATGGTTGACTGAAGCTCTGTTTGAGTTGGGAATGTTTACACCACCAAGTCCTTGGGCGACAGATTAAATTCAATATGAAAAACATGTCACGTGTGCGAGGTATCCCATGCACATGAGTTATTTTTAATATCGTTCGTCAGTGATGTGGTATTATCAGGGCATTAAAGCTGCGTTTGGTTCGTGGTAGTAGACTAAGGGAATGGAATGAGTATTAGTTGGTAATGAGCATTGCTTTGTTTGGTTTGTGGTAATCAAAATTCTTTCCCATTCCTTCTCATTCCAAAGGAATAACTAATCCCACAAAATATGGGATTACCCATTACCAAATAAAACATGGTATTCCCCATTCTCAATGACTCGGTAATGAACCCAAATTCATAACTATGAATACCCGACTCTTCCAGATTCCATTGTCACGTTTTCTTTTATTGAATTGCACCTTCCTCCCCAAATCTCTCCTCTCCTCCACTCCTCTGCTCACCTCTCAACTCTTCTCTACCAAGCCCCATGCCATTCCACCCCTTCTTTCATCCCCTCTTATCTACTCTCTGTCTACTTATCATCGGTTTTTGAAGCAAGGGGCAAAATCAACGACGAAGACCATCATAGACTCGACGAGAACCGACTTTGATCACCAATCTCAGCTTTTTCATTACTCTTAGTCAACAATTGCATGTCTGTGAGCAACCTTTATTAGTTAAAGTATGATAAGGTATGGTGGGATTTGGGTAATGTTTTTGATATTTTGGTGGAATTTCTTTGTGTTCTTGTTGTCTTGATCAATGGGTAATTGTTGTGCGTATACAGTTGCATTAGTTTTTGAACTTATACAGCTAACTTTGTTGGGAATTCTATTAGGCAACCAAGCTAAATTAGTGGACGTAGTAATGTCCGAAACCTGTTTGATGATAGTCCTAAATGAGAAAAGGGTTGATTTATGGAGGGTATTTAATTCATGATGTGAATCACAGAGGACCGGGGGATGAGCTGTTTTCCTATATCGATCATTAAATGCTTTTGAAAAACAAGCAATACAAATTGGATAAGCTGTTATTTTGTCAAGTAATAAATCAAACATGGATTGCGTATGATTGATGGATTTTTTAATATTTCAAGTGATACTAGAATGTCATATGCTATTCATTTAATAAGTAATTTGTTTTATGAATATCAAACTACGTCCAGTTGGTTGTAGTCAAAAGTAAGACTAATACGATGTTGCTACTACAATTCTTAAGATGTTAGAAGTTGAGTATCTAGCTGCAAAGGGAAAGACTAGGACCTCTTTTTCTTGGGCCATCATTTTTGTGGTGTATTAGGCATTTTTAAGCTTCTAGTATGTGTTTGATCAACCAATTTCATGTATCCCGATAGCAAGCTTCATGTATCCAATCAAGAGTTTTTGGTATTGTTTGAAAAGAAATGTTACAAAATTAAAAGCTCCCAGTTTTGAGTTAGATTTTTTTGTCGGTTGGTATCGGATCATTTGATAGAATGTTTATATGCATGAAACCAATGGCCAAAAGTGGCGTGTGAAATAGTATAAATCTCAAATTGTTCGATGTCATCCCCAGATGCTAGAAGTTTTTCATTGTATTACTAAACTAAGATCCTGACATCAAGTACATGATATCAGCCTAGATTAAACTGAAAAATTCTTGAAGGATAAAGAAGCAGATCACACAAATTGGAGACTCCACCAAAGGAATTAACTGCAAATCTTTAGTGATAGCTAAGTGAATTTGTCAAAGTTCTTTACATGAATGTGCTAAATTTATTTTGCTCTATTTGCTAGCTTTGTGTTTATTTAAGTGCTAAATGTGTGTTGTCATTAATCTCCCAATTGGTGGTGTTGTTGCAGTCCGTGACTTAAAGGAGGCAACAACTATGTTTGCCCGTGCAATTGGTATTGATGTTGCAGTCCGCAACTTAAAGGAAAAGTTTTTTGAAGAGTTGTTGAAGATGCTTGACCTTTCCAAAAGTGAGAGACGCAATGCCTCGAATATGTTGGCTTGTGACTTCGATCTTCCTAACATTTTTTTTGGCAATGCATAAGGCCGAGAAGATAGAATTATTTAGAGGAATATTAAGCGGTGTTATTTGAACATATCTATTTGGATGGAGAATTAATTTGTACTATGTTGAAAGTTGTATGATGAACAAAATTATATTTATTTGGTTATTGGAACAATATACACATATTTTTTTATTTTTTTCTTGGGTAAATTTTTATTTTTATTTTTTTGGTGAGAACAAGAATATGCATGTGTATGATAATGAAATTTATGCATTTCAGTTTTTTTTATTTGTTTATCAATTTTAAATATTTTTTGGTGAATTTTATGTGAGTTAATTGTGCATTTAATCTTACTTGTCAAGTTCTAAAATTAATAGGAGTATTCATCATGAGGTAGTATGTTAAATTAAGTTGGAAATTCCATGATAAAAAAATTATATTTTGGCCAAATTTCATTCTATTCTAGCATCAATAATTTAATCCAAACAAAGGAATGGAATGTGCATTCCATTCCAAGATTTAATCCCAAGTTAATTGCCAAATAGGGGAATGATAATGCTTATTCCATTCCATTTCCAATGTCATTCTGTTATCTTGTACATTCTATTCATATTTAAAAGTATTACCACGAACCAAATGCAACATAAATATTCATTCCACGTTTACAGATTGAATATTGCATGCAGTATATAGTTGTGAAGTACTTTTTTATTTTTCTGTTAGTTAACATACTACCTCATGATAGTTCTCAAGCGATTGCTTGTAGATGGGTTTAATTGCCTTATTTCATAACTTTCTTAGATGAAATTTTAAAGCGATGAATACACAAAATGATGAACTAATAAAATCAGATTCTTTTATTAATTCAATTGAATGAGTTTCAGTTATAGAGAGATTGAATTAATAGTATTTGATTACATCAATACCTACTTCCTAAAAACTAATTTTAGCACTACTCCTAAATGTCCAGATCGTAGGTTTTGTGGGGGGTTGAGTTGTTTATTTAACTTCGTTCTTTTATAGCCACTCTCTTCGATGATTTTTCTTTTATTGATGGTTAATTGACTTTGTAACGCCCAGACAATTATTCTTTCTTTTAAACAAAAGTTGTGGCCGATCATTTCCCGCATTTTTTTCACACGTGGCAACTTTTTAATGATTTCAAGTTTGCCAACAAAACATGCATCAAATGTCTTAATAACTTTGTATTTTAAGTCTAAATAATGCCCCCTCATTTAATTGGGTTTATCTCGTAACTAACCCAAGTAAATGAACTGTCACATCTGTTGTTCCTCTTTCACTATTTCTCTTAAGACAACTCCCAACGGCACTTCATTCAAGCAGGTAAGTGAACAATCAGTAACCGCTAAAGACCCCTAAACCACTATTTAAAAGGCACAGTCACTGTTTTTACCTACCCAAGTCCTTACCCCTTCTGTTCTCTTCCAATTCACCCTTGGCAGTTTCTCCTTGGCTTAACTTCAAAATCTAAATATTTCTTTGATCCGCAAATGGCATCTAAGCGGAAAGCAGAACAAGTCATCACTGTTGTCCCTCCTTCAACACATCACCTGTCCTTCGATTCTCTGTTGACCTTCGATATGCTATTCGAAACCTAGTTGGCGATCGAATTCTAATTCCTTCTGAGGATTCTGGTTCCAACTTTGCCTTAGGTTCTGCTTTTAAGACTGATATGTCTCTAGCATTATCTGAGCATTACCTCATTGCGGATGGAGAAGTCCTAACGCTTCATTGTCCTCAACTTCGATGGAAACATTGGGATCAAGGGCTCGCCCCCTTGAAAACTGGGTTAACCTAAATCAACAATTGTCTAGTTAGGTGGAACGAATGGAGGCACACTTCTCTGAACAGTGGAAAAAACAAAGGATTATGAGCAAATCAAGTTCTCCACTTGCCCATTATACATGAATCGGTGGCTCATAGGAGCAACTAGTTGCTTCTTGTCAAAATCCTGCAATGCTATGCTCCTTCCTCTTGGTATGATGTCCCATTCAATCCTCAATGTCGTGCACCTTATTGGGCTCTCGTCGATAGGGATTGAAGTAACTACAAATCTAAAGCCTGATCGAATTCTGATAGACATTCCTACCAATTTCAACTATTCAGATCACCTCATCTTCTTTTATAGGCCAAATTCTGGCCCTCTTTCTTAGGAGGAACATGTTGCTTTTCTCCTCCATTGGCTTTGTCGTTTTGTCCTTTGTGTCCCTTCCCTAAGGTCACAATCAAATATTACAACATTGCCATCTTTTTAGCTAACCGCAAGGTCTTGGCCTTAGCTCCTTTTGTTTAGGGGATCTTTACAAAGGCCTTTTTGACATGGCTGAAAGAGGTATTGACAATCTCTGTGGGGGCCATTTCTGGCTATTCCAAGCATTGCTCTACGCCTACTTCCCTGAGACTTGGGCTATCGAGTACCTTTCTTTTACAAAGTGTCACCCTCTCATCTATGCCCATTACTTCTTTATGTCGGTGTCTCCATCTCTACACAAAGACTTCGATTTTTATTTTAGGGCAATTCATGATCTAGAGTTTACCAGATATCCCCTTCTCTTCCTGCCTTTATTCCTCTTGTCGTCTTAGAACATCCCTAGATGGCTTCGTCAATTTTTCTGATGAACAAGCCACTTTTTTCCATAATTTTTGGGTAAGTCTCCTTCTACCTCGCTACCTTCATGTGGGTGGTGCAATCTATGATTCAAAATACACCCGTTGTAGCTTCGAGTCTACTCCCCTAATTAGATAGCCAGATAATTTGGCTTCGCTCAAATTATCCCTGTGCCTTTCATGCACCCTCTCGTCGATGAGCATACCAACACAAGGGTTAGGCTCA